CCCCCCCCCCCCCCCCCCCCCCCCCCCATACCTCTTTCTCTTGAGGGAATTGTTTGAACGGCGGGACAAATATTTTCTCAGTCCCTGATAGATATATTTCTTCTTCGTCATGATGTGACCCTCGTGAGGACAGCTGACCCTGTGATGCAGTCTCGTGATGTGGCATGGCTTTACTACATCGGGTAGGGTGCGATTCACTCTCCAGATTGTCACTTTATTGAGCACATTGATCACAGTAAGTGGCAGCTTAACCTGTTACCACTCGTCAGTTGTGACACACATTGACAATATTCAAATTTTGTCCTGACATGCGTACAGCTTAAAGTCAACAGGTTTGATTGTTCAATGTGAACATGATTTAGTGCGGTGTCAGTGTATTGCCTAAGGACACTTCAGTAGACCCTTTCATATGCTTTTAAACAGGTTTTTTTTTGGTTGGAATTTCTGCTTTGTTTTGATGGAGAGAGAAACATGTAGGACATGAGGATGACATGCAGCAAAGGGCCCTCAGGCATGGACTCTATCAAGGGAGCTACCAGGGCACCCTGTTTGTATCATGCTTGTGCACTTTGTCTGGTACAGTATCAGACATTTTGCAACTGGCTAATCCTTGGGGGACGCAATCACTGCTTTGTGCACTGTTCTTTTGGTGCACCATGTAAAGAATCCCATCTGCCTTTCCAGTTGAGCCAAAGTGATGTAAGTGAGGAGAGACAGGTCTTGTGAAAATGAATTACCTCATTAATGATTATCAAATCATCTAATGCTTCATAGAAAGGTTGAAAAACATTAATTAAAACAACTTTTGGGTTGCCATGTTGTGAAAAATGTGTCGGGCTAGGGAGTCATTAAAAGTGAAGTCATTGATACAGTCATTAGTAAAGGCTTTCTAATAAGCAATCAAACGTGCGGTTTTAAATGGTAGGTCATTAACTTAATGGTCGGGGTCACAGGTTTCACAAGTGCAAATAAGCCGACACCAAAAGTTGGTAGGTCACAACAAGCTGTCAAGTATTTAATTATAAATGTTAACCAGACAGATCATCAGAGTGGTCAAATTAAAAGCTGAAAAGATGACTCAAGAGGATAAACACCAGTCAACCAAAACCTGGCAACCTATAATTTGTTCTTATTACTTCTCATAAGCCATTATTTGCAACTCATAAACATTTTATAAAGCATGCCTTACTAGAAAGTGGTACCATGTGTGCCTGTCGATACACCATGGTGAAGTTGAAATGCCTGACATATAGGATACACTATAATGAAGTCCTCTTCAGTCCAGTCTGTTCAGACAAAAAACAGTGTGATTTATTACTTTCAAAATAAAAGCAAAATCACTTCATTATTTTCGATCATTTTAAAGCTGCACACATTCAGGGGGGTTGTACAGAACAACCAAACCATTATTCTATTGCTGTTGGCTTATTCTGGCTGACTTGTTTGATGAATGAAATCTCACTTAATCCTGCATGCTTTTAGAAGTATGCTAAAAATGCTTTTGATAACTGGTCGAATTTTAAATAAAACCAATTTGTGTTTTGGTTTACTACAGATTATCTCTCAGTACTGTTAAATAATAAGGCTGGCGCTCCTAATAAGATGTTAAAATGGGTCAAAAATAGATTGACTCTAGTTTTTAGTAAAAAGTCAATTGGGGACTATTTTCAGATGTGGATTAATACACCATCAGTGCCCCAGTAAGTATTTATGGCAACTGATTCTGAATGTATGTGGGCTGGACTTAAAGTAAGTTAATGAACTAAATTGGCTATCTTGGGCTGCACAGACAATATTTATTCATTTTTTTGGAGTTTTTCGACACTATATGAAAAATTTGAAACATCATCAAAACTTTGACATCCAGAACTTTTGGCTTGTGATCCGATTTTACTTTGAAAAGAACAACCGGAAGTTGTACAATTTATTCCGCAGGATTTGACACTGGTGTGGAGAGACGCTGATAGAGAGGAGCACAAACCCAAGTATAAGGGGGTTGAACCGAGGACGTGCGGTTTCTTGGAAAAGTGGCAACTGCGTGAGGAAGGCAAGTCTCGTGCTGGTCCTCAGCCTCTCTGGACTTTATTCAGCCACCGAGTCTGTCGCGGAACAAATCCGGATTCTAACCTGCTTTCAACTTCCTAACCATGAGGACAAACGTATGGATTTACCAAGCTGTGGTGTGTGTTGTGGTCACTATATTAAATACAGGTAAGATATGAAGAGCTGTGTCTGTGAGATGTGGAGTTATTGCATGGGCAATGTCTGCTTGTAGTTAATTTCAATATCAAAATATAATTTGATTCCTTATTTTCTGCACTCTGTCCATTCATCAAAATGAGAAACGCACATAAGAAAATGTCAAAAAATAAATAAATAAAAAATAAATAAATGTGTGTGTGTGTATATATATATATATATATATATATGAAAAGTGGGCACAAATAGAATTAGGCTGCCATTTGTCATATTTTGTTTTCCAGTCAGCACTTAAAATTTGCCTGATTTAATTATAGATAAGGACGTTGCTTGAACTTGATCACAAGCCCCGTCCTGCACTGTTGTTTCAATAAGCCCTTTGATTAATTACGGCGGCTTGTCATTTACTGAGCTTTGTAGAAAGAACTAGGTCAGGCGAATTCTGAAGATCTCCAAACATGTAACAACCACAAAACTTTGAATAAACAATTTGGCGTCTTATCAAACTGCTCCTCCTTTTACAAATCAATTGCTGCCGCTGAGCTCCCATTAGTTCAGTTATCTAATTGGGTCAAATTTGCAAATTGATCTAAAGGCTCGTATCATCAATGCATTTAAATAGTTTTGTGCAATAATATTTGGTAATCAGAACGTTTCCTCCTCCAGATTAAGGACGACCACCATGCCAAAAAGCGTTTGGTTGAAGTGCATCAGCTGATGTCACTGCTTTGTTCTTAAACTTTTAATATCGGCTCTTTCCATTGCACTAATAGGCGCTCAATATCTTCGTGTGATATTGCGTCACAGCACGGAGCGCACACGCGTGAAACGCGTCCAAAAGTGCCGCTCCTTTCGTGAAGCGCAGACTATCTGTGACTGATGCTGTCCCGGTTTACATCCGCCCCGTTGACATGTCGCTATAAAGTAAAGCACTGAATCCATAGTTGCCACCTCCAGGGGTGCCGACCCTGACCCCTGACCGCCGTTCAGTTTGGGGAAAGTAAATTGCGCGCCCCTGACTGTAGAGAGATAGAAAAGGGGGTGTGTGTGCATGGGGTGTGTGTAAGGGTTGGGGTGGGGGGTTAACATCTGGCTGCTGAGGCAGTTCCACATTTTGCGCGTTCTGCAGCAGATGTAATGTCTGCTTAATTCCCAGACAGAGGCACACCTTTAACTTGCCACTTTCCTGTTGTTCATGTAATAGAGTTTTTCATCAACGCTGCCTTGAAATTTTTACATGGTGACTAAAAAAATCGTATCCAGCTGACACTTCTTTCTTTGCTCAAGGGCACCTAAGAGGAAGTTTTCTGAGAAAGGTCAGAGTGTCGGTCATTCACCTCTCCTATCTACATTTCCCAAAGCTAAACTGGAGACTCGAAACTCGTCCCTGTAAGCGACGGCTGCCTCTTCTCATTACATCTCGCCTCTCTCACACTCGCCCATTGAGCGCGTTTTTATTATAATCTCCGACTTCTGCGAATGTTTGGGATCTGGAGATAGCAGGAGTCCGACCGCGAGCAGAGGAAGAGACTAAGTGAAATCTAATTGAGCAGCCTGGCCAGACATCAGGGCTGTAACAACACTGTGATGAGTGCCAGATGTGGTCTAGTGGAGCCCAAACATTAATAACAAGTCCTCCCCAAAAAAAAACATTTTCAGCCACGAGGAGCCTCTAAACGCTACACAGTTTTCAATATCCTAAGTACACACACCGCGCCTTGTGACGGATGCTGGCACAGGAGCACGTTGCTGTAACTCGGTAGCATGAGATTTCCCTCTGTGATTTATATCGCACTTGCCCCAAATTATAAACGGGGAAACTATTGTAACTAAACACATAATGCATTTAGCGATGTTGCTGTGGCCCGGACAAGCAGCATTTACAGTAGAGCTCCATTCTCCTGAAGGATGGTGCTCTTAACCTTTTTTTCCGATATAGGTAGAAGTGTATGATTTGTATCGCAGAGGTTTTTGACTTAAAATATGGTTTTGTCCTGCTTTTGAACCCAGGTGCATGTCTCTGCAATGATATAATTCTCTTTTGATGTGCTTCTTCCCAAAGAAATGGCTCTCAAGAAAGGCCTATAACAAAAAATGAAAAAAATAATTCATTGTGGTCTTCATCCGACTGTGACAGTTTTCCATTTCTCCAAATACTGTAAGCTGTCTAGTACATGTTGGATGCCAATAGCTGAGACAAAATGTACACATAAAACTTAATTAGTGCGTGACATCAGAGCTTTCCTGGAAAAAGGGATTTCTGGCTGCATCCTGTTTTGTTCCCTATAAATGAAACGTCACCTTTGTTACTCAAAATGAATTAATTATGTCACATTACGTTAAACAGCAGGAGGCCTAATGAGACTTTCATATATCATGTTATTTTTGCCTCCATATCGATATTGCAACGGGATGACCGTTTCGCAAACTATTTACATGATGAAAATGTTTCGTTTTACTGTAATGAAGCCTTTAAAACCAGGAAAAGACAACACTTATACCACATTAGGATATTAACATATCAAAATCTAAGACAAGTGTTTGTCTCTTTTCCCAATATCGATATTATATCAATATATTGCCCAGCCAGTTAGTGTTCAAATGTTCTTGGAGATGTGTGGCTGTCTCTGAAAGCAGTTAAACATGAGCTATGCTTTCACGAGCATTAAATCTCCAAACGAGACACTGGAGCGCGTCATTCTGTTCTCTTGGGTGTCTTCACAGTTCATTCTGCATTTCTCAGGCAGCTGCCCCGGTTTGAAGCAGGAGTGCCTGGGAGCATTTTGGAGCTGAGTTTTGATGCTGGACGCACTTCTTTCCTAATTACCCGACACATGAACTCGTCCGCTATACCTCGGTTTGCCCAGCACAGCTGAAGCACCTTCTAAAGAAAAGGTTTTCTCAAGTGTTCACGGGTTCAGGAGTTGCACAATGATGTTTCAAGTGTGATGCAGTGGCGGATGCTCATAACAAGCATAGGGGGCTGTAAGTAAACTGTAGTTGGACGCTTTCATGGACTCCTGGCCGTCCAGTTAAATATATACGACGGTGAAATCATTTCATCTTTGCTCCACGTCCTCCAATGCAAAGACTCTGGAACCGGTGTTCATGCCTCCTGTTGTTCATATAGTCAAACCACCGTGAAGCAACTAAAGGAAATACTCTCATTTTGACAAGTTCTTCTTCTCCACCCCAGCGCCTTGACAGCAGGGAAATGTTTGGCCATGTCTCCCAGTGTTTGAGTAATGTTTGATGCATTGTCAATGAGGAGGAGACAAAAGAAAAGAATCGCGGTTTCTTCGATTTGTTTTTGCATTTGTCCTTTACTTGAAAGCTGACACTGTAGATACACACAGTAAACAAGGGAGGAGAAGGAGTAAACTGCAAGGGAAATAATTAAGCAACCCTGGGCAGATCAATCAGAAAATATAAAGTACAATGGGGACGTGTGATAAAACTCACAACCTGTTCTCTGGGTGGAGTGAGAACTCGAGTTCTGCCACCTGAAACCTTGTTTGTACTTGTCTATAGACAGACGGGCACACACACAGGTTTTAATGCTCAAGAAAAATGTCCAATATTTAGAGGGAGAAATGTATTCTAATGAAACAAAGGTTGAAAAGGTTGAATTATCCTGTAAACAATTTGATTTAGCTGGCAAAAAAAGATGTCGTTTTTAAAAGCATCCTGAGAATATAAAAAAATGTTACTTTTTAATTTAAGTTATTCGCCTTCATCAGTATCTGTTGCGGTCATGTCTGAAAAGTGTAGTCGCTTAGTTCAAAAGAAATGTTGGAGTCTCACGAACACGCGCCGCGGCACCTTTCGGGGCCTTTGCGCTTCACACAAGATACTGTATGTGACGATGTCATTTTGACAACTGTAGATAGTTATATCATTGAAAACCTGGTCATATAAATCGATTCCTTGACAGTAAATCACTACATGAATAAAATTTGGGTAATCCATTTTTGTTTCTAGCAAATTCCCTTTACCGAGTTTCCCAGCCATGCTTACAACTTTGATGTTCATGTGAATGGAATTTATTAGAAACAGCTACTCCCATACGAGATGGACCTGGCATTAGCAGGTCCTATCTCCTTCCAACCTCACAGCCAATCTAATGACTGCACCAAAACACACACATTGAACATGTTGTGTCCTTGTGTTCTTGCAGGATGTTGTAGGGCTCATCACTCGTTACAGAAGTATGAAAAGAGTGAAAGTCGCATGCTGGTTTGCACAGACTGCCCTCAGCCTCCTTTGGTAAGGAAAAGCCGATCCCAGGAACACTGCGCCCGCAAGTGCAAGAAGGTCAAGAAAAGCTTCAACTGCAGGTCAGTTACTCTCTGTATTTCGCCGAAACGTGGCCGTTCCCCCCCCTCACTCCTCCTCTCCTCCCGTGTTGACACAGTATTTACATATTTTTGTTGTTTATCGTTTGTCCATCTCTCAACTACTTCCCGCGTGTTTCTACAGGGCTTTCAACTTTCATCGGCACAACAGGAAATGCCACTTGCTTCCTTTTGACCGCTTCACCCACGGTGTGCAAAAGCAGGCCAGCGTCAACTTTACCTTGTATGAAAAAAAAGGTAAACGTCGTCCTATTTACACTTAAGGTTGAGTTGTACGCGCTCGGGTGTTTTTCTCATGAGAGCGTTCCGGTGCAGACTGATGTACACAGGCGGATTGTTTGTGGCCGATTGCAGGTTGTGCTTCTTGCGTCGCCTCCCCGTGTTATAAGGTCTTCGGGTTTTTTCCTTGTTGACACAATAAAAGCAACCAACCCTTCCTTACCCCCCCCTGCTGTTTAGTCACGCCAGTGGGGAGAGTCGCACGCATAAACATGTAGCAGACTGAAGTGTAAACAACAAAATTCATTGTTTACAGTCGGTACGCAAAGGCTTTCTCCGGTGCAGGCTGTGGAATCTAGCGCTTTAGAATTTACTGCAACATTTACGGAAACCCCCCCCCCGGTGACATTTAATGAACTTTAGGGAGTTGTCTGTTTTGGGAATAACACACAAGCTGGTATGTACTAAAACACTCGCTGTAAAAAGGTTTAATTGACCATACATGGGAAAATATATTCCAGGTGGTCAAGGCAGGGGACGCAAATCAACTTTTAATTGACTAAACAGTGTATAAACTGGCACACAAAGAGTACACAGAGACAACTTGTAGAAGTGAGAACATGAATGGATGCTTTCACATGTTTTTTTTTTTTATGCCTTTGCCCTTACTTAGATTATATAAGGGAGTGTATCGTCGGCACCAAGGACAACTACAGAGGGAGGAGGTCTTGGACGAAGTCAAACATCACTTGCCAAGCTTGGTCCGATAATAACATCAATGAACACACGTAAGTCCTCTCATTTTTGACCAAGAAAGAGTATGAAAAACACATTTTTGTTGGGAATTGGGGCTACTCATGAGAGGTCACAGACATGTTGCCTTGAGGCTGCAGTGCCTTGCTTGATGACAAGAAGTGGAAGGTGTTAATCACCCCCCCCCCCCCCCCACCACCACCACCACCAGGTTTCTGTAGATTTGAACCAGCAGCCTTCAAAGTCTGCTTCTCTAATCTTGAGGCTTCCGCAACCTTCATGGATGCTCCTTCTCTATTTCTCTGTGTCTGATATTGACCAGGCCTCAGCCGCTGATTTATAGATGCTCGGATCATCCCTTTGCACCTCAGGGGTTAAGGGAAGGCGGAGGCTGGGAGACGGGTGAACATTTACCCAGAAATAAGTCGGATTTCTTTCAACACATGCGGGGATGTCCTCTCCACCGAGCTTGTTTTTCCACTGCACCGCAGGCCATCAGGTGTGTCCCAAAGATGTTTTCCCTCGGCTACAAGCCAGGCGAGATCTGTGAATTTTAGACGATGGATTCTGTGCCAGCATCTCGTTAGCGGGGCTCATTAGTTACGAGATATTTTAACTGCGGCAGGAAGGGGGGTTTTGAGACACAGAGTAATAAGAGTTTGAAAAAGGGCAGAGTGAAAAGTAGACACAAAGGAGGTAGTCCAGCTGAGCTCACAAAGCCACAGACATACTGAGAGAAATACAAGTTCAGTGATCCCCCGTAATTAAAACGCACTACAGCGTTGATCCCCATGCACTCCTTTACTCCTCCATTCCCTCTCCAGAAGCAGCTCTCCACATTAGGAATCCTTTGTCATTGTTTATTTGACACACGGTTCCAGTCCTCGTCCCAGATGGCAAATGTAACATCGCCTTCGCTTGTCAGCAACCTTTAACTTTCATAGGGTCAAAGGGAGCTTTACTTAAGGGAGATTTAGTGCCACTGTGGGTTACCTAACATGGGACTGTCCCGCTGTGTGAGAATTACCACCATAATGAACCACGCACCATTTGAGCTTCAGGTAACTATTATTTTCATGCTTGACCGGTCACCGTGGACCAGGGGTGATTTCTCAGGAGGTTCCCTTCCAGGAAAGGGACTTCCACCTGCTGTCTATATTTAGTTTTTGAACCAAGGCTCTGAAAAAAAAAAAAAAAAAAAAAAGTGTGTATTAATGCCCAGCCATGCATGGAGAGAGGAATGGAATGGAAAATTCCTGTTCATATTAATAATAAAGGATAACATTGCAATCATTTATTTATTCCCAGCGGGACTTTCTTTTATTTTTCTCCAAGTTTCCTCTGGGAAAGCAGTGAGAAAGCTCAGCTACAGAAACACACAGCTTCTTGCCGAGAGTTAGACGAAACGATTGATACCACTCTCGTGTCTGTGGACGACAGTGAATATGACCACCATGTACCACCGAAGGCCCGTTGGCTCAGTTCAGCAGAGAGACTGAATACACAGCTAGCATGGCTCATCCGACGGTAACTTGTTAATTAGAGAGCAGTAAGTAAGATGTTTGCAAACCTTTGGACAGAGCCAGGCTAGCTGTTTCCAGTCTTTACACTGAGCTAAGCTAGGCTAACCATCTCCTGGCTGTAGCTTCATATTTAACAGACAAAAATGAGAGCTCTACTGACCTTCTCACCTTTTCGCTGCTCTAACGCTTCGCAAGAAAGTGAATTGGTGCATTTCCCCAAATTTCAAATTATTTTCAAATGTCTGCTGTCGTTCGCACCCGGCTTCCAAAATCATTATTTATCTCTTTAAAACGCTTGCTTGCTCTAATCTCTAAACACTTTGTTCCTTTAAAAAGCTGTTGCATTGAAGCATGACTGCTTTTGTTCCAGGTGCATGAGACATTTTGCGGCAGTTACTTCGGGTCTAGATTTCATCTTCAGTGATATTCAAAATCTCGCCAAGTTTAGCCGGCCCAGGGAGCAAAGCATGTGTGTCTGTGCTCCGATGGGAACAGACTTTGGCAAGGAGATGAATAACTGGCTAACATCTGTTAGTGCAACATCATTATGGCTAACTTGCTCCCATGCAGTGGCTTTTACGGACTCTCACCAGGTGCAAACTGTTTTTTGTTTTTTTTTTGTAAAGTGAGGGTCCTTGTAATCCCATTTATAAATTAAGAATACTGTATTATGATAGCAATATATTGTGTTTATAAGTTGCACGCAACAGATGTGAGATTTGGCTCTTGGCATACTGCTGTAACAAAGGGGAACAAGTGTTTTGTTGTAGTTACAAGCACACGTGAAATGCCGCTGTTGGACTTAACCCTATCATATTTTTCTTTAGTCGGGACTGTCGTCTGAAGCTTAGGACCTTCCTCTTCTTTCTCCCTTTTCTTTTACATGCCTGCAGTTTCTTGTAGTTCTGGGTTGAATGATGTTGTGCATTAGTGTAGGAGCCTTGCATGAGCCTCAGGGCACAGAGGGGAGAGCAGAGCAGACTCCCCCACGAAAAGAGTCATTGTCTGGGGTAGTGTGTTCAGACAAGCTGCTGGAGGGAGGGTGGACTGGTCTTTTTTATTTTTTATTTCTCTACCTGCACATGTTTGTTTTTACATCATCAACTATCCACTGAGCTCTGGACTTTTTGCTCACTCCATTATGCTCACTTTTTCTTTTCACCTTTCTCCTACGACCACAGCTTTTCCTCCTGTCTTCCCTCTCTGTCTCTCTTGGTGGGAGGGGGAATGTGGTCGGCATGGATCAGGGGGTGCTGACATGCCAGCTTTTCATCATCCTGCCCTGACAGAAGACGAATTTCACACACTGTTCATTTAGTATGGGGTTTCCCATGGCGCTCGTCATTGTTACATCCCATATGTTTGGACTAGCCAGGTTCTTTTACTTACAGTCGCTTGTTCACACTGAGGTGAGGCTGCAGATGACAGAGAAGGATTAGGTTTAAACGTGTTCAAAGGCTGCCAGCAAAAGACCTGCTTGGTCTGCTCCAAGTGGTTCGTAGCATTGCTCTGTGCTGCTGGAGGTTACTGTGCTGTGACAGAGTCTGGCTGCTTCACACATGAGGGAGCTGGGATATGGTAGGAATCGGTAAGGCGATCATGCAAAAGGTGCAAACCTCAAGAGATATTGATGACTTACTTTGCATATGATTTAGGTGACTGGTTACTTAAGGATTTGAAATACAAGCTGGCAACACTGTCGGCACTAGCCTTTCGCAGAATGAACAGAATGTAAATGCCTTTTATTTGGTTTGTTACCGAGAGCGATTAGCAGGTAGGTACGGTGCTGTATACACCATTGGAGCAGCCGAGTGTGCAAGTACTCCCTAAAATGTATTTACACAGCTTACAGTATCAGTTAACACTTTGAATCATGTCTGTCTGCTCCCCTGTAGGTTTTATCCTGATAGGTACCCAACGCAAGACCTGAGGGAGAACTTCTGTCGGAATCCCAACAACGATCCTGGTGGTCCGTGGTGCTACACCACAGACCCCAATGTACGAGCCGAGGAGTGTGGCATACCACAGTGTTCAGAGGGTAAGGCAAATAAATGTTACTTTATTTCCTTGAATTCATACGTTTTGTTTGCTTTGATCACTTGAGGAAAGAATTCTTGATAAATGCTGTTTTCTTTTTGACAGAAGTGTGTATGACGTGTAATGGGGAAGATTACCGGGGCAAACTTGACCATACGGAGAGTGGCAAGGAGTGCCAGAGGTGGGACTCAACCAGGCCTAACAAACACCACTTCCAGCCCAAAAAGTAAGCTGCGAAGCTGCTAATCACGTGCTAACCTTTCCCGCGGACAATGCTGCACACAGCCATGACAGATGCTTAGATAACTGACGCTAATACTCAGGAGAGGTAGACCTAACCGGTTGTTATGACTTACTTCCATCCCTTGAAATGTTTTCCTTCCTCTCTTTCTCCTCTCTCAGGTATCGTCACAAAGATTTAAGGGACAACTACTGTCGTAACCCAGATAATCGTCTTCGTCCCTGGTGCTACACCATGGACCCCACAACTCTGTGGGAGTATTGCAACATCACCGTGTGTGGTAAGGGTATATGTACTGTGCAGACTCCTATTGTGGGGCTTGGGTTTTGTGGACAAAGTCTTCAACAGATTAATTTAAAACCAAATTATTGTTTTACTGACGTTTATGCTCCAGCGACAGCCGTGGCCAGAGGGTCGCCTGCAGGGAGTTTCTTCAAATTTGGCACAAACATCCACCTGGATTAGATTTTGGTGGTCAAGGGTCCCTGTGACCTCACGTAGGTCTCATTCTCGTCAACGACATTTCACAGTAACTGTTTCAGGGTCTCTTGCTTGGTTTTTGGACAGACAGACTCAGAGTCGGTACTGACAGCTATAGTGGTTTGAGAGCTCCAGGGGGGTTGTTACATACAGGACTTTGGTGGTTGCTGTGAACAGAGCAAGAAAGTTCCTCTTCTGCCCTCCCAGAGTCTCCTAAGGTTTTTGTTTACCCGGCTAGATGTTTCATGTGGTGCTTGGCTTCGAATCCTTTTCCCTCAACAAGCAAGAGTAAATAGGTTGTTTGTACAGGGGAGGGCCTGACTTCAGAGAGTCAGAAGTGCTTTGCTGAGGCCACTCACAGATGACAAGGGCCACTAAAATGGAGTGTTACAACAGAGGCTATTATACAGAGATGTGACACATGGCCATCAGAAGACCTAATAGTTGTTTTAGAAACTTTGTTTCTTTGTCTCCAACCTCTATTTTTTTTTATCAATATTAACAAAAAATCACTGTGAACCATCAAAGTTTTAGACAAAAGAAAAACTTTGTAAAAAAAAAATCACTAACTGCAGCCCTGTTTTTGATATGGTACTGTATGTAAAAACATTTTAGAGAAATGTGTTGGAGGGATTAACAGTATAACCTCACTTGAGTCATATCACATTTGGCAGAGTTTGACAGAGTCGTAGTTTAGATAGCTTTTGCCTTCATCTGTCTTCCAAAAGACAGAGGGAAAAGATAAAGAATGGATGCCAAAAAGAGGTTACACCATTGGAGAATTTATTAATATTATTTGTCTTTGAAAGCACAATGAAATATCCCCACATGCACAAACACGCGCAGCGTCTCTCTTTGTCTGTCAGACACATACACACATGTACTCGACACTACATGTTATGATTTACAGCGAGGGATTGGGGATCTGCATTTGTCCAGATGTGCGCATCCCTCAATGCCTGCCCTCAGAAAGATAAAAACCACTGACCTGTACGACGCAGTGCACACGGACACTGGCATGCATTACATCAAGCCAAAGAATCTCTCTTTTTCCATCCGCCTTCTCGTTTCTGCCTCAAAACATTCCCTTTCCTCCTCCATTCCTCCCATCTCATTTGTCAAAGGCTAAAGAAACAGAGACAGAAATCCAGAGGGGAGAAGTCGCTCCCCATGCGCTGCTATCCCTGCACTGCTGAAAAGCAGAATTCCATTTGAAGATGTTTGGAATAGTTCTCCGGTGGATAAAGTTGCCCCGGCCAGACCGGGTTGGATGTGATATCTTTGGTGGGGCTGCAATAAACAGGAACACAATTGTAATGTTTGTGTTTAGGCAATGATGTATTCCTTAATATCGTAAGGGTCCGAGTTTTTATTAAAACAACCTGTGACATGGTGTGCCGTCAGCAAGTTAAATAACTGCATATTATTGTGGATGTCCCTACGTGCAAGAATGTGGTGCACCGGTGTTATGAACACACATAAAGTTTCCTATCGCAGTTGAGACAAGGGGGGGTGCTACTGTTTTTGATCATCTTTCTCCAGGTTAAACATCACACATTCTTCTGGGGATTAATGTCTCCCTCCTTCCCTCCCTCCTAAATCTCATTCACTAAAGCGAACGTCTTCTCTCGTGCCAACACTCACAATTACAATTTCTGTCTTTTTCTTTCTTTGCTAGATTCTGACTCGTGTGAGGACGCAGATGTCAATGTAACAACATCCTGTTTCCAGGGAAAGGGCACGGATTACCGAGGCACAATGAATGTCACTCCAGAGGGTGTGACATGTCAGCGATGGCACTCCCAGTTGCCCCATAATCACTCCTTTCTTCATCACAACTTCAAATGGAAGTGAGTAAAGTATCTCTCATGGCCCCTGGCAGCTTGCGTTCAATTATCTCTGCTGTGTCAAGGAAGTTTATTTGTTCATTTTGTGCATTTGACTGTTGAAATGCCAAAAAGTAAATGAGCATGAAACATAAAATGATAGCTTTGCTGTACAGAAAATACATCAGCACCATCATTTAAATTGTAGTTTGTGTATGTGTTATAGAGACCTTAGAGAGAACTACTGCCGTAACCCTGATGGTGCAGATTACCCATGGTGCTTCACTACAGACCCTAATCAAAGGATAGCCAACTGCACCCACATCCCCAGGTGTGATGCTGAGGCCACACAAAAAATAGGTAAATTACTGTACAATTTTAAAGGAACAGTTCAACATCTGGGGAAATATTTTTATTTCCATTTTTGTCCTGACAATATTTAATGTGTTCATTGATGAGCTTCAGAGGTGCTGGTTGACAGATTACGTTACGTTTAGGCAGAACTGGGCTAGGTGTTACCCCCTGTTCCCAGTCTTTATGCTAAGCTACGCTAACTGGTGGGTGTAGCAACATATTTACCATACAGATATGAGAGTGGTAATGATTTTTTCATCTAATTTCCCCAAACGTCAAACTATTCATATAAGACTACCAGTGTTTTCTAAACAAACGATTTCAAAAGAATAGCAAATATCTAGTCTAATAATCTCAATATTAGCTTTTTTTAAATAATATGATTGACACACAGAACAACAAATGCTTCTAAAGCCATATCATGTTTTTGCAAAGTGGAGTTACACAGACACCGTCTTGCTCCCATAGGACTGAGCCACTTGGCAGCGTGCTGCCCAATTAGTTCAATTTCATGGCAGAACAAAAACGACCCAACTTTGGCAATAGTGTTCTGTCATTTCCCATGTTTCTCTGCTTTACATTTACAGAAAGATGTCCACACAACCCATAGGACCCGAGAGCCCCCCACGGGGGGCTGTTTTAGAGTGTGCAGCATTCAGCGTGTCGTAGAAAGCATTTTTCATAAAGAAATATGATTATTGCTCCAGACATATTAAATATCGAGTTAACGGGAAAAGTCCGAGCAACATCATCATACCAGCCATTGTAAACACTGCAAACACAATTATACATGAACTACTATCATATCTGGAAGATATCTAGAAGATTTGCCACAATTTTGGCCAAAAATCGACGACCTATGCTCACTCTATGGCTCTCTCATCACGGAGCAGGATCGCACATGGCGGATGAACACATGCAGGAGGGGCACGATTCGACCCGGAAATGCACAGCGGTGTCCAAATTACTCTCTTTCAAACCGTTCAAAAGTTATGGGTATGCATGCCAACATCAGCCGCAGGTCACGAGAAAAATAATTGGGTAAAAGAAAACTTACGTTTTGACGGTTTTGGCGATGAAAAACGGATTTATTCGAGCCGATTTTTGCACAGCTCTGCCCGCCATGTTCTGCTGCATGTCTGTGAGTGAGATCAATGCGCTGGCAGAATGAATCACAAAATGGCAGACGATTCTGTGGGGTGGAGCAATCCATGGAGAGAGGGGGGTTCGCCCAGCATTTTGCGATTTTTAGTCAGTAAACAGACCCGGATACGATCAAACACCCCTGCATGGCTCCCGTTGGACTATCCCGCATCTAAAAATGTCTCACACGAGTAAATCGGCCTTACCAAAGTCACATAGACACACATTATGAGCCATTTATTGTTATGAATGACAGATATGACACATCATAACTGCTCACAATTATTGAAAATGGTGTCAAACTGATTTATTAGGATTATTGAACACTCTTAGTGATAAGAAAAGTGAATATATAGTTAATATTTAGTTATATAGTATATAAAATGAGTATACAGCAATGCAACAGCTGGTTCCGAAAATCAAAGTTTTGATTTTTATGACCATTTATGCTGGCCTGCTTCACTCAATCGAAGTAAAATATGTTGTGGGGACATGTTAAACGTGTTGTTCTATGACTGTGGCATGGTTTTAGGCTTGCAGCTGCATTATTTAAAAAAAAAAAAAATGTTCAATACAAGTGCTTTTTTTCAGGCGAACCTAGAAATTTTTCAATTTGAGCTGTGCCATAAGTGTATCAGTTATTAACCAGTAACATATACACAATATTTACACAATTCAACACATCTCACAAGTGTTTCCAGTATTCTAGCATCAAAATTATTAAAATAGACCTTGTAGTTAGAGCTCGGGACTCTCTTGAGTATGGCTATGCAATTTTCGAGCAGAGGCCTAAAAATAGGGCTAGGGTCCTATGTTACTTCAGCTAGTCTTTTAGTTACTAAAGCCACTCTTTTCATTCTGCTAAAGGACAGACATAGTGAGGTTTAAAGATTCCTAAAACAGGGGCCATTGACATTAAATTCATCGAAACCACAAAGGGAAGTAAAAAATCTGAACTTAATTATGTTATGTTTGCATCAATGACAAAGTCGGCCACCACCCAAATCATATATGTAGTTCTTTGGGTATTGCTCACTCACTGATTGCATTTAAGTGTTTGAGAGAACTGCTGGGCTGAGTAATTCAATGCTCTCCTGGGAATATTTAACAAGATGATCTGAAATAATAATATCTGTTTCTTCCTCAGAGTGTTTTGAAGAAAACGGAGAGACATATCGGGGCACTTTATCCGTAACTCGATCCGGTATTCCCTGTGCAGACTGGTCACATCACATTAACAGGTAACACGGTTGTTTATTCTGCTTAGTAAATGTGTTGCTTTGCTCCTTCTTCTAACTCCCAGTCAAGCTTAAGCTGTAGTGGGAAACATTGGGGATGCTTCCTAGGGAGGCTGCTATTCTTTTCAGCTCACTTGATGAGTGTTTGTTGATGACGAAAATCCCTCTCATATGAATGAAGCTCGGCAGTGAAAACAAACAGCAAGAGGAAATCAGGGGTTCCTCAGGGGTCAACACCAGGCCCAATTATTATTCATCTAACTGACGAGAGGAAACCCTGGGGTGCTCTCCAAGTGACCCATCCTGACGGAAAGGTTGCCCCACTCCAGTGTGTTATTGCTTCATGCTTAAGTCAGGCTGTTGGAATTACTTAATTTACAGGAATTTTAAAAGCCAAAATGGCACAGACAGATGGACATGTTCCAGAGCTGACCCCTGACCCCAGGCAGTGCTTTCTGAGGAAAGTAGATCAAAGCCAATCAGCTCCCTCACATAGACTGCAGCCAGCGAGTCTGCCCCGCTCAAGGTCAAGGGTCATCCCAGGAAAAACTGCCGAGAGCCACAGCTTGTTTAACAATCTCCTGGGAAGTAGAATTATCTTCACCTCCTGACAAATTGTCGCCCATCGCTTAGTATTATTGCCGTGTGCGTGTGTCCAAATTCTTCCGGAGTAATTACTTTTTAGTGAGATGTTGGATTTCTGAGGAGATTACGCTTAATTCTCTCAGAGCCAAGTGTAACGTTGCAAAAAGACTCGCAATTAAATTGTGAATTCCTACAAATCGGGAGCACAACCGAATCGTTCCGTAGAGGATGCGGCTCCTGCTGGTCTGAGCCCTGCCGAATGCTTAGAGTGCATACTTTCATACTCCCATGTGTACCCTTCACAAAACTCTGCGTTTCCTTCTACGGGCTCTGTGGAGCAAATGCAGAGGATTCATTGCACTATATGAAAGAGTCAAACTTTCCAGGCATAACATGGTAACCTACGGTGTGTATGTACTGTATGAGTATGATGATGTGTGTGTGTGTGTGTGTGTGCTACTCCATGCATGCATGTGCTCATGTGTTTTCAGAGTGCCTATGAGTCTTCATGAGGCCCAGTGTTAGTTCTGATACACTGTGTGTGTAATAACAAATGGAATATGAGAATCTGTATTTGTTTGTTTTACAGTGGGGATTCTCACTCTACAGAATCCCATGTAGGGCTGGAGAAGAACTACTGCCGGAACCCCGACCGGGACAAACATGGCCCCTGGTGTTACACCAATCCAAATAACCGTTTGGCCTGGGACTACTGCAAACTAAAGCGCTGTGAGTGACATAATTAACCTAGTCGCTTCTAACAGTAGATACATCTGTGTTATGTCAGACACCTAATAGAGTTTGATATGATTCACTTTCTTACCAAGAGTTGGATAAGAAAATCAATACCAATCTCATGTCTGTGTTACATTTGAACAGAGCAAGGCTAGCTGTCCCCCCCCCCCCCTGTTTCCAGTCACTGTGCTAAGCTAAAAAATGGCCGCATCATTTTTTGCGATCGACGATCGCAAAAAACGCTGCCTTTTGAATTTAGAGCTAGAAGCTTGATGTCAAAGTGAAAAGGCAGGTTAATGATAAAGTGGAAGTATTGGTACAAGTGAATTTGGAAATTCCCAAAACTAGCACTATCCATTCATTTGATTGCAGCCTTTGTTGTCTTTTTATACAGCTTGGCTGGTGGTTCACACAATCTATTAGCCGTGGTTTTATTCAATTGGCAGTGAGTACACGTTGCACAAACATCAAACAGATGCAGGTCTCTGCTGCAATCCTTTTTATTGGAGAAAATATACACTCAAGCGGCCGGAGACAACATTTTCGTGGGCTGGTTTCAATATGGCCTCATTGAAGAGCCTCTTGGCCGCGGAATCATTTCCATAATGTAAAACATATCGTTCTTGAGCAAATTCCTTTGCTGCCGGCGCTGACCGTTATAGCCTCCAACAACGATTCAGAGAAGTCTTTATAAAGTAAAGAAGGGCGTCTTTTTCAATGAGGTTTCATGCTTTCTGTGTCAATATATGGTCGGTGGTCTAAGTTATTTCCCGCTGCTGTGGGGGTCTCTCCTTACTGTTGTGCTTTTCTTTACCTCTATCAGGTGAATCAGCTACAGCGGCTCCTCAACCGAACAGTGAGTATCGCTTTGGCTTATCTGGCTTTTACCCGTCTAGTCCTCTTCCTCTTCCTCTTATCGCTAATCTCGTCCCTTTTCCTTTTTACTCTTTTTATCAAATCCGTCTGTGTCATGTGCCTGACTAAACAAATCATATTTTATGGTTTCCCTTTTTGAAGTTTTAATAAACATTTTCCCCATTGAAATGTAAATGATACATCCATCTAACGTGCAGCATAAAAAATGTCTTCTCTTTTAGCTTTAACTGGGCCCAAGATATCATGCTTTGTGCATATAAACACCAGAATTGTAGGAGGACACCAAGTGCGAGGTACAGATGGCAGCTGGGTTGTCAGCATCCAAAGAGAGTAAGTCATTTTACATCTGTGTGTTTTTTTTCAAAATGTATCAATCCATTCATCAATGTAATGGCGAAAATATTCTTCTTAAATCTTCCTCAGGAAGGTTCATTTGTGCGGGGGCTCCTTGATCAGAGAGGATTGGATTTTGACAGACCAACAGTGCTTCACCTCCTGGTAATACTCCACCTTTTCATAGTTACTCCCCAGACAGGCCGGATCTGAGATATGGAACAGAATGGTTTGGTCTGCAGATCTGTTTAACTCCTGCAGTTGTCTGTGTCAGAGCCAATCATATACATTTAGTATCTCTTCATCTGAAGTAGTGGCTTTAAAGAAAGTGTCCCTATCTCTGTAGCTATGTACAGTTCTGTACGTATAGCATGTGGTGTACACCAGTAGCTTTCAGCTGATAGAGGCCCTGTGTGTGTCGTGGAAAGACATGGTCTACTTTGAAACTTTGCTTTATGTCTTGCTTACATTAGTCATGTCACCGCGTTTTGCAAAAATGAACATTAGAAGTAATTTTTTCTGTAAAGCAGTCATTCCCAAAGTCTGAATTGGGTCGCAGAGGATTTTATTAGGGTTGCCGAATAAATTTGCAAAAGTTCTTCCTTTAGTCTTTTAAGATTTATATCTGCAGTGCATATTTAAACCACATGAGGGAGCCTGAAATGGCTGGTTTACATATTCAAGATTATATGTGATGATGTGGAAATGACTCTTTGAGTAACAATGCCGTAGGTTTACAACTTACATCCTGGTCCTTGTGGTCATCAGTGTTCCAGATCTGAAGGATTACAGTGTGCAGGTTGGTCTGCGCCACCTCAATGAATCCTCAAGCCACCCGAGACTACGCATCTCTCGCCTGATCTGTGGCCCGGAAGGATCCAACCTGGTTATGCTGAAACTAGAAGAGTAAGTCCTCAACGACTCACGGTTTCCACTAATTTAACATCCTAAAGTTTGAGCACAACTAGTGATATGGAAAACAATTTCATCTATTTTTATCATCATTTTACTTAATAGATTGTTATTGATCTAAAAACAAAATTACATAACTTATTTGACAGACATGCCTCTTATTTGTGTCCATATGTTGCGTTTTATTTTGACTGTGATTTATGACTATTGCTATGTTTGTTCTAGTCCCGCCCCTGTGTCTGAAGGTGCCTCCACTATTCATCTTCCAGTAAAAGAGTGTCACATCCCCGAGGGCACCAACTGCACCATGTATGGATGGGGGGAAACCAAAAGTACTGCCTTCTTTCAACCATATTCCATGCCACGTTTCTTTTTAACCGTCATTCAACCAAAAACGAATGCCTGTGACATTTAACAATTACGCTGCATATCTTTCAGCCACCGGATACGATGAGGCGCTGAACGCTTTGACCATGCCCATGGTCACCAACGACATGTGCTCACAAATCAAAGGGGACGCCGGGGAAAGCAGAATATGTGCCGGTGGCAAGAGAGGAGAGGGTGTGTGTGATGTAAGAACAGAAACAACCAGATTGCAACAAAAGTACATTTATTTTTTTTTTTAAATGTTCATCTCAGTTTATTAACATGGCAACATCTAGATAGCTGAATTGAACATATACAATGCTGTGTAGTGTCCTCGTTAGCGTGCTGTCTCTCTGAAGTGTCGTCCTCTTCCTGTTTCTCGCAGAAAGACAACGGCGGTCCATTGGTTTGCCAGGAGCATGAGCGCAAAGTCATCATCGGCGTGAGCATCCAAAGGACAAAATGTGCCTCGTCACAGCCTGCGCTTTTTGTTAACGTTGCCTTCTACTCTGAGTGGATATACAAGGTGTTCAAACTTTACCCCAGTTTGGAGAGGAAATGATGGCGCGGTGTGAAAATCAACCCACGTGCACACGACTTCACCGCAGCCTGTGAGAGGAGGGGCGGCTTTGGGGCCAACAAATTCAAAGGTGTCTCCAGCATGGACCACGGGGGGAGAAATGAGGAGGAACACCTTATAGAAAGTGCTCATTTCGGGATTTAATGGCTGAATTTGTCGTTTTACGGAGATGACAGATTAGTGAGTGAAGACCGGATGAAGGAAATGGAATCTCATCCATTCTTCCACTTCCAAGACATCCCGGTTGTTAGCATTAATATCCTTTTTTACAACCAAAGCCTCGAGCACATGGACGACATACTAATTGTACTTTAACATAATCCGATTTTCTGAAGCGACCCAAACAAAGACAATGAGAATGACACGCGTGATTTAATATGATCTACCTGGAATTTACTTGAATATGGACAGAAGACAGTTATCTGGAGGTTACCGCACGAAGTACCCTACTGTGACTGGGACTTCCTGTTTTCTTCTGTGTTAAGCTGGACTGCAAACTAAGTCTTAATACTTCCAACACAAATGAGTGGTGGATGAATTGTTATGTCCCTAATCTGGTCATACATTTTAGCATACTCTACAGATATCACAGAAAAAAATAATATTTGGTTTCTGAAATGATCCAACAAAATAATATGGTAATACCAAAAGGGAGAACAAATATAAGCATGAAAATAATATTATCAGTTCGGTAGTACAGACGGTAACAGTCCCAAAAAAAAAAAAAAAGCCTCTATAAGTCCAGCAAAGGTTAATGTTTGGCTTGAGGTATACCAGTAGTTGCGTATGTAAAATACACTATTGCTGCTTGAAAAGCTTACTGCAGCAGCCTTGGCAAACCCATGCAGCGCTAATTGTGTGCAGTAGCTGGACTACCTTTTCCCCAGTTAGCTGTAACTGTTACGATTCCCTGTGAGAGGGTCGATGAAGGACTGAGCGAACTGCTCCAAAATCTTGTGCTGATATTTGTAGCATGAGAGAGCGAAGAGCCGTGCCAAATAAAACATGGCTATTTGGTCTCCGGTTTGGAGGGAACTTTGGCCCCTGGTGGGCTGTGTGTGTGGTCAGTAGGATGTTTTATATTTTGTTGTTGTTGTACATAGCCGCAGATTTACTGTTTCTGCTGTGCTGTAAGATATTATAGGTCTTATAGATCTGGAATATGTTTGGTTCACTGAGTAATGTCAGATTGGCTTCTTCTTGCCTTTTGATTGTGTTTGATATTTAAAGAGACTGGTAGCTTGTAAGTAGTATTTAGGTATATTTATTTTTCTAAGCAGAAGTCATCTTTTGAAAGGAATCCAGATGTTGGTGTGATATTGAGATATTAGTTTCTTTGTTCTGAGAGTAATCATGACTCCCCAGACTAACGGGTGCATTATTGACTCGCCGGTAAAAGCCACACAAACATGAAATGACTTGCTAGGTTACATTGTGTGCTTCATTTGGTTGAACATTTTAATTCATTGGTGCTTGTTGGCTAAATTTGTATTGTTCTGCCCAGAGTTTAACATGCATTTACTGTGCATTATATACACAATGCGCACTGCGTATCGCACAATGTTGTACTTCCACGTTAAATGCACAGATGAATATAGGCATTAGATAGAAGATGAAGACATTGAAATGCAAGTTTTATACAAAACAAAACAAAAACGATAAAAAAAAGATCTTACGTGAAGTTTCTTGCAATTAGCATCATCAAAATAAAGCCGATTTAAGTGAATCAATGCAGGTGATAGCAGAGGAGTACATTATAACTGAATATTAATATGTGGGATGTTTAGTTAGTTAGACTAAAAAAAAAAGAATGTCTTTCTTTCAAATTTCTCCATCAGTGACCATTTCTGATTGGCCTGTCGTCCTTTATTCCCTTTAATTAAACCAGAACGACCCTATGACTGCCAGCTCAGTTAGTATTAAAAGCAGTGTATTTTACTCACATTTGTGTGGCTCCTACTGAAAAGAACAATGTATACTATTGTCAGCTCTGAGATGAATGTTCTGAATATCACATGAAAAACGTTACATAGCAATAAAGGAACAAATATTAATATTGGGGGCTTTCCCATCAGCCTTTTGAGTCATTTTGCCGTTGTTGGTTTCAAAGACCATAACTGTACACAATAACTCTGGCCTTAATCATCTTGCACAGGTTGAAACCAAGGGGCAAGCCTCTCAAATACCAGTTTAAACGAAGACTGTTTCATTTAAAGGCAACGGACTAAGATGAGTGAAACCAAATCTATATTCTTGGTCAATGTGGCGGATCTTATAGTTGTATTGTAAATTGATTGTCAGGCATTGTAACTGTTATTTAATTTACCTTCATGTAAATAGCCCAGTGCATTCTGTAAATTACACTTTGTAATTTTTGTAAATGATATACTTAACTATTTTTACTTCATGATCATTCTGTTTATATGTTTGTATACTGTAAACTTTAAATATAACAGCTGCTATTTTGTGTTAGTGAGTTGTTTTATATATCGATGACCGTTTCTGAATTTTCTAGCCTTTGTATTATTACTATTTTAATAAACGACTTGACATTACACTTCGCTTTATTCTGCACCCTTCTCCCTCCTCGGCTTTCTCCCGTGTGCAGTATGCTGAAAGGAATATGCCAGAAGCGCACACTTACTGTTTTGGCAGTTTACTCTCTCTATCACTCACAGCAGAAGATTCTAGTGCATGATAAATATTCCAAAGTGGCTGAAAGCAACAAGTGTCATCAATACAGCCGCTGAAGGAGATGAATAACAACGTGTCGGAAGGAACATTTAGATTACACATTTTGGACACCCCATACTTCAGTGCGATACAACTCACTGATACAACTAACTTTTGGATAAGCTTTTCAGCGGCTCGGAAACTTTGAGTTGCTCAATGTGAGATTAGATATAGTTAATGCTCGAAATGTAAGATTAATGTTTGCGTCAAGAGATTATATTGAGGTTAAAACTTAAACCAGTGGTATCAAGAGGAACTCGGATATATTCCGTAATTTAAAGAAACTTAAATACAGAACTATTAAAAGCAAATTGTATTAAAGTATCAAAAGTAAAAGTGCTCTTCTGCAGATAAAATGGGCCCTGTGTTGACATTAACATTTAATAGATTTTGAAGACTGATGCGTCGATGCTTTAGCAGCGTTTCACTGTTGGAGCTGCTCGATACTCGTTGCTTTATAGTTTAGTCCAGTTGTTCGCAGTGGGTCACAAAATAAGTAATTTAACAGCTTAGCATATGATTTTTTGATGTGATATTTTAATCTGTAAAGCAACTAGTAACTATTGATGTCTAATAAAGTAGTAGTGAAGTAAAAAAAAAAAGTGCTATATCTGCCTCTGAGAGGTTGGGGAGTAGAAATCCAGAGAAGCAATACTCAAGTACAAGTACACGTCCATGCTGCTGACCAAGTTGTTTGCCTCCTGAGCTCAACCTTTCCCCGGGTGCCCAATTATCGAGAAACTCCGAGTCTCACCGTCTCTTTGCTGCAGTAAAGGGATATAAAGGAACTCAATGCCTCTGCCCTGTTGCAGTCATAAAAGCTGATGCGGAGCAGATATCGGGGTCATGTTTAGACTTTTTGAAGCTATACTTTTATAGATTTTCCCACTGGCCTTCCCTGGAAGGAAATCTTGGATGAGAGCCTTTACCTCCTCCTGCAACTGAAACACACAGCAAGCCCAAGACTATATAAAAGAGATAACATCCACATAATCCAGTGCTGACCTTAAATGATCCATGGAGTTATGATTTATGTCACAACGCTGTAGGGCATCCAGTTAAAGTTATGCTCAAATATCCGAATATCATTTCTGTTTTGATATACTCTATTAGCAGTAAATGGACCCCTTTTTAAATCCACACCCTTCCAAGCAGAACCTGTGTGCATTGGCTTAATCACTCCTTATAATAGCCTACTTTATTTCCTGGAAACTCACATAAATAAAACCAATCATCACTTCTAAAAAGAAACTTTATTCAGCACTTCGTGTCTTAACTTTGTCTTCTTTACAAGTCAGTTCAGTGGAATAAGATCCGTCTGGATTGTCTGACGTAACCAATGAATTTAGAATAATACTTAAGATGCTAAGTTTTATGTTAGATCTTAATTGTTGAAGTAAAAGTAATGAGTGAATCTGCAGTGCATTTGAAAAAAAAAAAAAAGTATTGAGGCCAAAATTGGAGCTCCAGTCCTCTGTCGCCCCCTTCTGGTTAGATTGTGTCACTCCAGTCCTGAAACTGAGCTGCACTCTAATTGTACAGACATGCTCATACATGTTAGCAACGTGGCCACACATTTAGTCCAGGTAGCGATTCACATCCCAGGGCTGCTGAGGAAATACGAACCTCTCATGGGTTTGAAGCTGGCCGCAGGTAAAAGAAATCCCCTGCTGGTTCCAGCACTGAGTCACAGGGCGCTCTGTTCTCATGGACTCGGTTGCCAAAGTGAGGGATGTCCTCATGTCTGTGTGATGGTGGACCAAAGGGAGAGTGAATCTTTCTCTGTGGTGATCCAGTGGAGTCTTGTCTGGCATGGTCTGGGCCATCATGTTATGAGGCTGATGGAGGAATGAGGGCTGGACTGAGATGGATGTCAGATTTGCAGAACTGTTCATACCTGTATGTCACATTGAAGGAAATCAATAATTAGTTTACTTTCTCAAACTTCAAAGGGGTTCTGCAAAATCAGGTGTTCTATTTTTTTATTTTTGTGAAATCACACCCACTTACTCTGTGTGTCACTCCTGTGTTTGGCTTCCCTCCTCAATTTAGCCCGTCTGTTTGAAAACCAGACCTGAGAGAGACAAGAAAAGATGAGGTTTTTGATCCCGTATCGACACACTGGTGATTCAAAATGACGACTTTACCTTGATGGTGTCCTCAGGAAGTTTGATCTCAGCTGACAGTTTCTCTCTCGTGTACATATCCGCATACTGGCTATGAGAGAATTCTGATCCAGGAGACAGAAACGTGTATGTAACTGAGCTTCTGAGTAAGTTATTGCTCGAGACGTGCGAGGACATTTAAAGATCTTAAGTCACCTTGCTCCAGTGCTGTGCTCTGCTCCGGGGTGAAGGTGGTGCGGTTTCGGTGCTGGACGCCTTCAGGCTTCTGGTCAATACAACATGCCGTCTCGGACATCTTTCTCTCTTTCACTTCTTCTTGAATGAGAGAATCACAATCTGCAGGATATACACATATTACATCAGCTCGCTATAAATCATCCTCACACTGACTATTTTCATTGTTCCGGTGACCTTTACAGGTGACCTACCCTGCTCAGTCCTGATGTGCGCATTGATCTCCATGCACATCGGCCCGTGGTCCAAGTGAATCCTTCTGAGAATCCGATTAATGGACGACACCTTGTAGAACACAGTGTGCCAAAAGGCACCATGTCATATGGTGGATCATTATATGTTTCGTGAAACTAAAAAAATAATTGCAAGCTCACTTACGCTGGGAACTTTGGAGGCTTTGCATATCCGTGCTGCTGCGAGGCGCTTTCGGATTTCCCAAGCAAAAATGGTTGGGTTTTCCCTCCTGCACTGGATGATTGTGGAGATGACACCGGGGGTGAGAAGCCGAGGCCGGCTGCCTCCAATGGTTTTGGGCTCCAGGAGTCCAGTGCGGCGGTAGCGACTCAAGATCTTACTGACGCACCCGCTGGACACCTGAAATACGCAGAGGGTTTACATAGGAAGTGATGAGGAAGTTATGTACTAGCCGTGACCTGTGCGTGTGAATATTAACGCAACAAGACGCTTCAACCAACTTCTTTTCAACAAATGTGGTAATGTGTGCAACTCTGTTGTTTTGCGTACCCGAAGTATCCTGGAGATCTGGTTCGGTCGGACTCCCTCCATGGCCAGTTCAATCATTTTCCTCCTCTTGGATTCTGGGAGAGGTCTGCCGTTGAGAAACATCCCTCCCAGCTGGTTGACACTTCCACCACCTTATTGTAACACAGCCTGTACTTATGAAATCTGTCTTTAGAATGGCATGTAAGTGGTTTAAATTGCTTATTCAATCTGAAATCACATTTACTATAGGCCTAGTTGTACTGCAAACTCTCAACAACTGTTTAGATGTCTTAGAATAGAATTAAAGCCCTTTTTTTCTGTATATTAAAATAGAAAAATTAACCTTCATTCGGCAGATCGTTTGTTCCGCACATCTCCGCTTGCTCCCAGACTTAGTGATGAAACTGGTCACAAAAACAAAATGCGTAATGCTCCCAGAAATAAAAACACCTTACGGTATGAAACGCGCAACGACACCACGTCGCCTGTAGGAAAATCAACTTGTCCGGGTAACTCCTCGTATCTCTGCTGAATGAACAATGAGGGGAATGACGCCCTTCAGCAGACATTTATAGGCCTGCTGACCTCAACATGACGTGGAGCCTGTTACCTGAAATGTCAATATTGCCTGGAAGTGAATGTGGGCATTATGGGCTTAAAGTGGGCTTTAGGTTGGTAAGTCTTTAAACGTGACATATAACAACATTGTGATTTTCATTCCACTTGTATTTTTTTTACCAAAAACAAAAACGTCCAGTAGTTTGATTTAATTAAATATATAGAGGAAGGATTGAGTCATGGAAATTCATGATTCAGGAAGATCCCTCCAAAGAGCCTTCCGAGTTGTTATTTCAATTAAGTAGCCTACGTCTAGATTTGAGCTCGATCTCGTGATTGTGCTCACAGTCTTACAGTCTCCTTATACAGGATTATGCACATCAAACATTTATTAACAGCGAAAAAGAGAAATAATAAAACACGAGTTAAATGTGCTTGATAAACTTAGTCAAATAAGATATGAAACTACTAAAATCATCATCTTTGCACTGTCTTGTTTTGGTGCCATATTATTTGAAAGCCCACTTGCAGTACCAGAACAGTGCATTTTGAAGAGAGTTTACTACATGGATTGGCTTTACCTTCATCGGCACCTTAAACAAATATTTCCACTTTTGGATCCTTATAAATTGCGTTTTCAATTCAACACGTATTTGTATTCCTGTAACCGGAAAATTAACATTGTAACAGCTTATGCAAGTTTGGGAATTCTGACTGCTTTTCTTTTGCGCAGTGGCTGCTATACAGTCTCGATCAAACAAACCAATTTTTCACTGCAACACAATTTAGCCTTTAAACATTCTGATTCGGTGCGTGTCATCCTACACAAATGAATGCACAAATTCCATCTTTCAAAGAAGCTAAACGATCAACACTGGCATGTTTCCCATCCTTTCAGGGGGGGGGGGGGGGATATATAGTCACGTGACATGAGCATCCTTTAAGTGGCCGAGATTAAAAGGATCTCTGGTCTTTTTTCATAAAACAAACATTTGAAAGTCTGCCCCAATGACGACTAGCATATGGTAAAGTGCTTTTAATAAATCATAAATCCATCACCCAGTCTCTCTTTATTACATTTTCTTTCGAAACGTGAACAAATATAGTCGTATGGGCGCAAGGAAAGGGCCAATTGGGGGACCTCGTTTATCCAGAAGAGGGAGGCTAAAATAACCCTCACAGATGTTCCTTGGGCAGCCAGCAGATAAAAATGCGTTGTAAACGTTTCAAAGGGAAATATTTGACGAGCAAATATTAGCCTATGTAAAAACCCACACAAGGCTCGTCTTTTGGCCTGTTTAATGACTAATTGAATATCATTAGTTAGGTCCACACAGATCGAAGTGCCACCGAAATAAAGGCTCAGATTTTAAAATGCCATATGGCCCAAATTATACATTAACCATGAGTTAGAGGACAATAATACTTAGCACAATCAGCCAGGTTACATAGAGGACAGCCATTTTTTTGGACACCATCATCTCCTTGCCAACGGAGACAAAGGACAAATAAGGCAAGCCTTTTTATTTATTACCGGGGAGTTGATGTAGTTATTGATTTATAGTACTTTATTGCACGTACAGCGTGTGCCAAACGAGGTTGATTAAAGTACTTAGGTCGTGTTGTTAAAACAGTGCCACATAATCGTGGTGCGTAAATTGTAATCTGGGCTCGCCAAAGGAGGGAGCGGGATTTTAAGTGTCTAAATCACGCCACAAAATAGGTATAGATTTTACCAACACGTCCCAGGTGTTTGTCGAGTGCATGGAACATCTATATTGTTGCTTTGCTGCGCCCCGAAGCGTTGAGAAATGTGGTTTATTCATCCGCGTAAAAAGGTTACCAAAACCTCTCCAGAGCGCACTAAAGTGCCGTGTGCACAACGATGCTGCCTCCCTGGTCGCTTGTCTAGCAGTTGTCTTCACCCTGTTATGACATTTGTGTATTTTCCATGTTTTTCTTATTCTTACTTCGGTGAATATTTTTTTTCCATCCTGTGAACGCAGACGCTTGTTTTAGTCCTTCATTATTAATGACGTTTCATGTCCGTGGCCAAATGTGCCGTTTTTCAGCATAAAGGCTTCAACACAAAAATCGTCTATCGTAATATGCTATTCAATTTTAACTGTGTCGTAATGCTGTCTTTTCTAAACAAGCAGGATGATGTGACCTTAAGGTTAATAGACATTTTAAACTTGTTTTATTTCTAAATATTTAAAGGCTCAAAATTGGATAAATACCGTGTTAGTTACACATTGTATGTAACCTATGTTCACAATACTTTATATATTCCACATTACTAATTCTTCCACCGTTGTCTTGAACTAATTTTATACATTTTTTTGAAGATACATTGAAAATACATTCTTTTTATTGTAAAATTGTCTTAAAATCGTGTAATTCATCATCAAATCTCCTTATATAACAGGTGAAATAGTATGCCCACGGTGAGACCATTGCTCTTGTTTCTAAACCAAATCCACTTTTAACATTTTTTTTTTTTTACTGAAAATTAGCGTCACTCCTTTGAGGATAGTATTTGTGGTGTCGTGCAACTCGGTTATGCAGAACTATGATAACAAACAGGCTAAATTACATCAAATGCCAAACAGAGCAGCAATATTCCTGTTTTACTAAACTATCGTCAGATTTGTTAGTGACGAAGATTTGGTAAAATGTAGAATTTATTTTTTTTTTTTTCAAACCTTGCGCAACACGGTATTACTAAATCCGCATGTTATTTGAATAAACTACATTAACGATGCGCTCCAACAGTTGGCTATAAGCGTCTTCTGAATAATAACATCCCATTGGAGAACACAGCATCCAGTACACTTTTTCTAAACCTCCATCAATGAAGAGGTCCTCAGTGCGCATTAGCCAAAGAGTGTTAATGTTGTATGCAAAACTTACTGTACACCAAAGATGTGCCGCTCATTAATCTTTACCTGCTGTTCAATAACGCAGAGGCGCTTCTAGTCGCAAAAATAGTGACAGGTTGATCTGAACAGGAACACAGTGGGCCCTTTCAATCCAATGTGGAGGTTAGTATGGTGCATGCATTTTGATGTCATATTCATGGTTTGCTTTCCTTCATGTAAATATTGCATTATGAGTATGAACACCTTTCCTACATGTATCTATAAATATGAGAACCAGTGCCCAATCACTTCCAGAGTATGTTTTAAATCATGCCATGTAAATCATGCCATGTAAAAAACATGTTGTCATTATATTCTGTATTTGTATATTCACCATTTTTCATGTGTCACCTTTTTTCTTTTCTTTCTTTTTTTCCTCAGGTAATATCATGAAGCCAGCTTCTGAAATAAGTATGTTGCAAATAAAACACTGATGTAAATTACGAGTGTTTTATATGTATAGAAATAAAAATGACTTATATGAATGTGTCAGCTGGAAACTGAATAATAAAAATGGAAGATGCGCTGGCTTGAATTGCCTAAGCTTAATATGGTAATTACATAGGTTATGATAATATCAAAATAATTTAGGTTGAAAATGTTTAGTTGTTAACAACTTAACATTACCACTGACCGACTGGACTGAACATCCAGACATTCGAAAGCATAATCACAAATGCTTGTGCCAAAATGGCCACCTTATAAGTCACACAACTCTGCCACGGTTGACATGTGATGCTACACTCATAAGGCCATATTGCCACATTTACACACTGCTTACAACTCATTGTAAATGTATACAAGCCACTATAATTTGCAGTATGCACACATATGCATGGGCAGAGGTAATGGACTGGGGGAGAGGGGAGGGGGCTATTTGTAACAACAACAATTGATTAGATGTATACTCAAATACAAAAATAGATGTATAGGATATATGAAACTTGAGGTGAAGCATGCTGTGGCCTTCACACTTTCTAAATCTAAAACCATCTAAACACCAACGGGAGATATTTTGGACCTCTAGAGAGTTAGAATCTATGCCAAGAAGCATTCTGTCTGCCTGTCTCTCGCTGTCACACAGTTCATAGTCACAAGTTACTCCTTTTGGGAATTAATGTCAGAGCATTAAAAGCATCATAAAAACATCTCAAGGTATTTAGCCTGTGAATATTTAGAGTAGGTCCCATGGGTAGTAACTTTGTTTTCCAGCAATGCTCTGCTTCCCACTCACAGTTACTCGCAATCACATCTATGAGCTGCCTGGCACAACTGAGCCGCAGCAAAACAGAAAAATGTCTGATGTGAGAAGGGTTCATAGGTTAATGAACTGTCCTGTTCTTTTGCATTAAATATTTCATTATATTTGGCCTGTAAACCTCATGCATACTAGCTTATGTGTGTGTGTGTGTGTGTGTGTGTGTGTGTGTGTGTGTGTGTTTGTGTGTTTGGTGTTTGTGTGTGTGACGTCAGAAATGATATTAAAAAGAATCACATAACTATTATATTATAATACCTTTTTTTAGTTTATGTTATTTCAGTCTTGAAATCTTGCGGAACAAAGCTGTGGAGCCAGAATGAAGAGAAGATATGCAGGAGTTTGGGGTAAATCTATTTATCAAAAACAGAAATCAACCACAAAGAGTGAAAACTGTTTTGTAATCATTTTTAATACAGATTAAACAACAACATTTCATGCAAAGTACACAATTTTTTAGACAGAGATTATTGACACATCTTCTTTACTCTCAAATCTCTAATGACTGTTTCTTTCTGACAACTGTTGGGCTACAATATCTAGACTGCAGTCTGCTTCATTTGTTGTAGAGGAGTTTGTGCGAAGTTCAGATCGAACCATACAATTTCCGACGCACCTCGAAGGCAGCATTAGCTGC